GATACCGGCAATGGTGTTGCTTGGATCGATCTCGAGAGTGAGAAAGTACGAACCAGCTGCGGCACCTGCGAGGAGCGTGGTAGGGATGGTGGTGACCATTCCTGCAAAACGACGGGATCGACGCAGCTGAAGGTACTTGTCCCATCTCAAATTTTGAACGTTAGTGTTCGATTGAGATTTAGATGGTTTTGAAGAAGAGGAGGTGAAAAAAGTAGGTGTTGTTGGACTGAAAGGGGACGACGAGTTGCGGCTTGAGGAGGAAGTAGTGAAAAAAGTTCGAGTAGAGGCATCAAGTGCAGGTTGACGAAGAGAATTTATGACGATACGAGATGACGAGGCGCCAATATAGAGGCCAACGTATCTTGAAGCAGCCGACATGATGCAGATATAGTAACAGTAGCGAAGAGTGAGTTGAAATGATCAAAGGTATGATGGATGAAAGAGGTCTGAGCGTTGACAAATGCAACTTTCTACTCTGTGACTGTTGGCGGCAATAAAAGGTGGAGAAAGTGCCATTATTATTTATCGGTTTTTCTCTCAAATTTCGAAACGAAAAAGACAAAGCTTCTCGGCCGTGAAAGAAGCAATAAATTAGGCTGCTTTTGAATCTGATCGACTCTTTCCAACTCGACTGTGACTATATTATTTTTATTATTGACTCTCAATTTCCTACCTATATACGCACATACCCTCATCTCCATCATCATCTCAATCATCATCATCTTCTCAATCATCATCATCCATAATTCATCAGCACACGCAGCGTTTCAAACAGCTTTCAATCACTCTGCGCTTTCTAAAGCTCCACTCACAAACAAACAAGCTGCGTCGTCTTCTCCTTGAAATCAATCATTCAATCAACACAGTTCACTGCAACATCAAATCTCATTTGGACTTCTTCCGCTCCTATTCTATTCTATTCGATCCAACAAAACAGACTCTTCTCCTGTAAGCAGCACTGACTAAGCTCGCTTTATCAACGACCGAACGTATATCTAAAACATTCAATCGCGGTCTCACATTTCACTTTCAACGCCCTGCATTCCCGGTCACGGCTCTCACCAACCATTAACCTACTACGTCCGCTCGCATTCTCAAACATTGCGACATACTACCAAATTTGCTTTCTCTTTTATCCAACGAAAGCTTTCACGCCTGATCTGCCGACAAATATCTGTGCAATTCAAGGTTTCTTCCTTCTCACTCTCTTCTCTGCAACGCACTGGCCACTTGAACTTTGAACGCCAGCCTTGTATTATTCACCAAACCCATCCTTTCTGGCCGCAGTAACTCCATATTCGCTATCAACACATCTCAACTCGCACGAGCTTCTGTTCCGCATTTGCCGTTCGTATCTCGTTGGACATCTCGATCGTCAGATTATCCACGTCTACTTCTGTTACCTGCTCTAACAACTACTCGCAGCGGCTTAGCTCATCACTTTATCCGCGCATATTGATCGATTCTTCTCGTCGTAAGATCGACATCCGTCTAGAACACTCTTCGGGCTTCAAACATCAATCGGCTCTTTACATTCCCAACCCTTACCTACACCTCAAACCACCAACTCGCATTCTACATAATGTCAGCATCAGGACCAGCGCCAGGCCAATCCGAAGCTCAATGGAAACAGCAGATCACTTCCCAGGTCACCAAAGATGAGCGCCCTCAGACAGAGGATGTCCTCAATACAAAGGGTAACGAGTTTGAAGATTACTTCCTAAAACGTGAACTCCTCATGGGCATCTTCGAGGCCGGTTTCGAGCGTCCTTCCCCTATTCAAGAAGAGGCCATCCCCATCGCCCTCACTGGTCGTGACATCCTCGCTCGTGCCAAGAACGGTACCGGAAAGACCGCCGCATACGTCATCCCTTCGCTCGAAAAGCTCAACACCAAGAAGAACAAGATTCAGGCCGTCCTCCTCGTCCCCACTCGTGAGCTTGCTCTTCAAACAAGTCAGGTTGCAAAAACGCTCGGAAAGCACCTCGGCGTAGAAGTCATGGTCACCACCGGTGGTACCACACTCAAAGATGACATTCTCCGCCTCGGTCAGACCGTACACATGCTCGTCGGTACTCCCGGTCGTATCCTTGATCTCGCAGGTAAGGGCGTGGCAGACCTCAGCCAATGTACCACTTTTGTCATGGATGAAGCCGACAAGCTCCTATCGCCCGAATTCACCCCCGTCATGGAGCAGCTCCTCAGCTTTCTCCCCAAGGAGCGACAAGTCATGCTCTTCTCAGCCACCTTCCCGCTCATCGTCAAGGACTTCAAGGACCGTAACATGGTCAAGCCTTACGAGATCAACCTTATGGACGAGCTCACGCTTCGTGGTGTCACCCAGTACTACGCATTCGTCGAGGAACGCCAAAAGGTTCACTGTCTTAACACGCTCTTCTCCAAACTCCAGATCAACCAGTCTATCATCTTTTGCAACTCGACCAACCGTGTCGAGCTGCTAGCCAAGAAGATCACCGAATTGGGGTACAGCTGTTTCTACTCGCACGCAAAGATGCTTCAGGCGCATCGTAATCGCGTTTTCCACGATTTCCGCAACGGTGCATGCCGTAACCTCGTCTGCTCGGATCTTTTGACCCGAGGTATCGATATTCAGGCCGTGAATGTGGTCATCAACTTTGACTTTCCCAAGAACGCAGAGACCTACCTTCATCGTATCGGTCGTTCGGGTCGATTTGGACATCTCGGTCTCGCCATCAATCTCATCACCTACGAGGATCGATTCAACCTTTACCGCATCGAGCAGGAGCTTGGAACCGAGATCCAACCCATTCCGAGCAACATTGACAAGAGGCTATATGTGGCCCCCTCGCTCATTCAGGAGGCTGAAGGCAAAGGTCAGAATGGGAATAGGCAGGAGGGTAGGCCAGTGATTCCACCGGGTCAGCAGGCCATGCATGCTGCAGCGATCCCGCAAAATCAGAACTTCAGCAACACCGTGCCTCATAGGCATAGGGGTAGTGGAGGCGGTGGTCAGCGTGGTGGTGGTCGAGGTGGTGGTGGACGTGAAGGGCCGCAGGATCATGGTCAGGTGTCTGCACAATAAACAATTGTCGGTTCAAATTTCAAAAAAAAAGAGGTTTGCATTGCGGTACAGGGTATCTAGTAGGGCCTCAGCCAGAAGCTTTGGTTGATATCTGGTTGTAGTGCGAATACTATTACTTGAGAAAACATTCCATCCCCCAACGGTCATGCGAAATCAAGCAAGCAAATTCTGTCGAGTACAGCTTGTTTTGGCTCGCATCGACGTACAACACCAACACGCAATCCTAAATCTTGATCGAGACACGCTGCGAGCAATGCGACGTGCTTGCTTTGGTATATCCTTCAGAACCTTGTCGCATGCATGCTGATTGCTTTCGAATGCGGGTTATCGCTGCTGATTTGAAATCTTGACCAACATGTAGCTCGACAAGAAAATATACCTTTTTTTTCTTCTCCTTTTTGGGCCCTTGTCATGCTTCTAGTTTTAGCAGGATGGCATCATGCACACATGCGGGTTTTTTTTTTTTATTTGTTCATTTCACTCACTCGACTCACTCATCAACCTCTCACTCATCCTTTTTTTCTCTTGCCTCTCGTCAATCTTAGCAACCATTATCCCCCCCACCCTCTCCAATTCACCGTCGCTCACCTTGAACATACTATCTCGTCCTCAAACCATGCTCACCTTTGACATCTATCCGTCATCATCATCATCATCATCATCATCATATCCCTTTTTTTCCGAACCTCATCCAAGTTGATGTATGTGCTTGTGTGTGTGAGAGAGAGGCAGGTTCAAGTTTGTTCAGGTCGCGAGGAAAACTTTGGTTGTGGTCTGATGGGCATTGCGTTTGATAGTTGTGGTTCTTTTATAATAAGTTTTCTGGGGAAAGACGAGGGATTTGTTGTTGATAGAAAAGATGTGATTTAGTTGTAGTCTAGAAAGAGATTGAATTTTGAGAATGAGGGTATAATTGATCGAGTTGGTTGACAATGGGATGGATTAGGTAAGCGATAGGTGTAGATTTTGGTATCTATTTTGATGAATTAGTGAAAAAAAAATTGAATGGAAAGAATAAACTTGAATATGATACGTTTAGATCTGTTTCTAAATGTGGTAATGTGGATTATGCTTCTAGGGTGTAAGTGTTTTTCTCAAGCTAAATTGTTGAAAAAAAATGATAAAAAGTCAACAATAAAAATTTGAGTTGAATTTAGTTTAGTGTTAATGTGAACGAAATCTAATTTTAATAGAAAAAAAAAAACTTACCTCTACTTCAAGTTCAGCACGTAACCAATCAATTCGATCCGGAGAGATGAGCAAATGTGTTTCGTCCAAATCCATAATGATAAATCGATTCCGTTCATCCAAGCTCAATATCAGCTGTTTTACCGCTGCATCACTGCATTTTCCAATCCAGTAATGCCAAAACAATAAATGTGTGTGAGTTTTCAACCTTCAATTCCAAATGTCAAACCTCGGGCTACAATGACATACCAGGTGAGAAGGAGTCCTTTATACGCCTTCATTATCCCCTGTTTGACCGCAAAAAGGGTAAGCGTATGTGTGTGTGTGTGTATGAGGTAAGGAGAGAGAGAGAGACACACACACACAAAGGGCGACAGCGCCCGGATGCGATGCTCGGCGAAAGAAGCAAACCAAGTTGCTTGGAATCAAACGCAGAAAGGCGAGGGTGGGTAATCGACCAAGGCTGGTAAGAGTATCAAGGGTGTCATAAGCCAAGGATGACGTTGGACTTTTGGTGTGTTGCACTTTCGAAGAGTGCGATAACGCTCTCGACTCACGTGTGATACAGCTAGAAAAAAGCCATACATGTTAGCCCGGACCCATCTAGCAGCTACAGAGGGGGTTTTTTTTAGGGGCCTGAAACTTATCAAATACGCATCCACCTGAATCTTCAACGTGAAATCGGATCTGATTTCTGGAGATATCTAGCAGCTTTGAACTACAACAAAAGAAGAAAAAAAAACTTGGTCGACGCCTATGAGATTCGAACTCATGCCCTCAGAGAGGATATCCTTACACCTGTAATAACAGGCTGCTATTTCTGCAAAGTAGCAGGGATACGTGTTAACCACTCCACCAAAGCGTCCAATCACGTGGCTGCATGGCCTGGCAAAACGTATATAAATCGCAAATCGAGGTTGGACAATGTTGGAATCTTGAGTCCATTCTGGTCACGCAGCGGATCTGGAAATTTGGGTAGAAGATGAATCAAATTTCAAAGGGACTAAACAGGCGGCGAGGCAGTCAGGTAGTGAGGCTATGCTGTACCTTGGCATCGAGCATAGGCCTTTGGATGAGCATTGAAGCGGTTGTAGATTCAGCGCTGAGTTTGATTGAGTTCAAGACAATGATAAGCTACTTGGATGCTGTCTGCGGTGATGAGAGTGTGAGTGGTACGGATGGGCAGGCAGTGGAGTGTCGCTCAGCAGCAGGTTGTGTGCGAGTGTGTGACACAAATTTGGCGTTGTGATGACGAAGATGTTGTGCGTTCTTTTTGTGCATGTGTGGAGGTGATTACCGAGAAACAGCCCTCTGTATGCTTGGCTGCTCATCATTGGATTCATTCTCATCTCCAACACCATTCTTGACCATCCTCGACCGTTCTCAGCAAGACTCTCCAACAGCCCATTTCTTGCAACATCCGAATGACCAGCGTCTCACCGTTTGGTGCTTAAGCGCCGCCAACAACCACTCTAGACAAGTCACATCATTTGTAGCGCACAATCCAGAATGGCATCCCAATTGCAACTCGATTTCTACGCATATACCCAGTCAGCCGCAGCTGCAGTCGTCACCACCACCACCACCACCACCGCTGCTTCTGCTTCTGCCATTCTTTCCCCCTACACCGTCAATTGGGAATATGGATTACCCAACAACGCCAACAATGGTTCGGATGACAACCCTTCCATCCCACTCCCCAATCAACGTGCCTTTGAAGGTCCCTGGTTCTCCCAACAGCTCTCTCTATCTATCTTTATTGGCCTCGCCTCCTTTTTCATCTTCATCATAGTTCGTCGGCGTAATGCTGCCCTTTTTGCACCACGTACCAAACTCAAAGGGTTCTCTCCTCTCGATGACAGTCACGACTCTGGCCACTTTGGCTGGATCATGCCCACGCTCAAAACAGACGAGATGCGCATATTGCAGACCGTAGGGTTGGACGCGGCGATATTGCTGAGCTTCCTAAAGATGGGCTTTTGGCTGTTCTTCAGCCTGAGCTGTTGGAGCATTCTCGTGCTCATGCCTGTCAATTACTGGCAGAACGGGGTGTTGGATGGTGTCAGTCCTGCCGAAGATCGCGATAACGCCACGGATCCGAGCAGTGGCAGAGACACAGTTACACGAATATGGACGCAAGTCATCTTTGGCTCGCTCAACAAGGGCAAGCATGACGATCCAAACCAGCCCCTCCCACAGTTGCCTTTGCCCCAAAAGCCTCCGCAGGCCCAGATTTATCACGCAACTCACCTCCTCTCCACCTACCTGTTCACGTTGCTCGCAATGAGGGCTATTTGGATCAATTACCAGCGCTTCGTCCGCTCCAGACAGCTCTACATTCTCGAAATCCTCGAGTCCATCCCTGGCCGCACCGTCGAGATTCGTGACCTTCCGGTTCACCTGCGCGATGAAAAAACTTTGGCCGAGTACTTTGAGAACATGGACATGCCCGTCGAGTCCACCGCAGTGGTACGCAACACTGAGGGTCTCTCTCGCCTTCTCAACCAACGATCCAATGCCTTGCATCAGCTCGAAAAGACGTGGGTAAAGTGGCTGGGCAATCCTACTGATGCTGAAGGCTACGATCCGGAAAAGATCATGCTTCTGGCCGCTGGTGCTAATCATGAGGACCTTTATGGTACCGACGGTGTCACCGATGACTTGGTACGCATCAGCGTTGATGGAAACGATTCCCAGCGTGACCCGGAACCAAATCCTCTTCTCAGCTCGGACTCCAACACCGCATCCGATCCGGTCTTCACTGGAGCTGATACCATCCGCACCCACCGCCTGCGCCCCACAATGCGTCGTCAATGGTGGAATCCTCTCAGTGAAAAGATCGACGCGATCGACGAGCTTACGCGCCGCTTCAGCGCTTTGGATCGTGCTGTTCGCCGTCGTCGCAAATCTGGCCGCTTTCCAGGCGGCAATGTCGGTTTCGTCACTTTCGAAAGTGCTGCGTCTGCCCAGATTGCAAGTCAGACAGTGCACTACCCCATCCCCGCTTTCTGCGCTACTTCGATGGCACAGGAACCTAGGGATCTAATCTGGTCCAACATCGATCTGAGCAACAACGACCGCAGGGTACGCCAAGTGTTGGTGTCGGTGTTTGTGGTGGTAGTGTTGGTGTTCTACATTCCCCCATTGGTTTTCCTCGCGAGTTTCGTCAGCCCGGGCGCGATCAAGAAGTATGCTCCGTGGCTTGATCGACTCTTGGACACGGACGAAAGACTGCGAGCCTTGGTTCAGAACAACCTGCCCTCTCTCGTCGTCATCGGCTTCAACGCCCTACTCCCCTTGGTCTTGGAATACTCGGGATACATGCAAGGGCTCAAAGCACGCTCCCTGGTCGAATACTCTCTGCTCAAAAAGTACTACCTCTTCCTGATGGTCTCTGTGGTCTTCATCTTTTTGATCGCTACCACCGCATGGGGAGTGTTGCAAGAGTTGGCAGAGAACCCAATGCGAGTGATTGACAAGTTGGCCGCGTCTCTTCCCAAGGCTCGCTTCTTCTCTCTCTCTTATGTCATCCTTCAAGGCTTGGCTCTGCAACCACTTCAACTCCTCCAATTGCCCACTTTGATGCTTCGCGGGTTCTACCGCATCTTTCTCACGCGAACACCAAGAGAGTATGCAGAGCTCAACGCTCCCCCTACGCTTGCCATGGGCAACGTGTATCCGCAGGCGCTACTCATCTTCACGCTTTGCATCCTCTACTCGATTGTGAGTCCGCTCATTGTCATCTTTGGCATGGTGTACTTTGGAATCGCGTACGTGGTGAACAAGTACAAGCTCCTGTACGTCTTCTACAAGCCTTACGAGAGTCAGGGACAAGCATGGCCGATTAGTGCAGCCCGGTGTATCTGGGCTCTGGTACTCTTCCATGTGTTCCAATTTTCGCTGTTCAGTGTACGAAAGGAGCTCTGGATGAGTACGGCGATGATTCCACTGGTGATGTTGACGTTGTGGTTTGGGGGTCATCTGGAGAGGACGTTTGGTGCATTGACGAAGCATGTGAATTTGAGTAGTGTTGTCGAGGTGGTCAAGGATATGGAGACGGATCCGGCTCTGGCAGAGTTGGCGCAGAACGGACCAGCAGCCGTAGCAGGTGCGGAATTTGGAAGCGAACAAAGAGTCACCTCAAATGATCCAAGTGCGGTGTCGGCCACTCGATCTGGCACCATGACTCCTAGCGGAAGCAAGAGCAAGCAACTACTTTCGCTGGATCCGACTCACAAGATCGATGCGGAGTACACAAAGCTCGCGCTGAAACGCTATTCGCACGATGAGGAGGATGAAACGCTCTTTGTTGCTCAACGCGATACAAAGACAGATTACCGCGAACCTCCAGGAGCCGGATACTACCCCGGAGTACTGAACACCGGAAGAAGAAGGTATGGTCATCCAGCGATCACTGGAATCTTGCCCGAACTTTGGTTGCCTATCGCTTCTCACCGACTGGAAGAAGGCGGGGAGGACGTGACTGCTCCCGATGATCTCGAGGCGGGAGGCACTGGAATGGCATCTGCGACAACTACGGCTCTGGGCGTGCCGAGGAGCGAGACGGCTGGAGAGAGTGGAGGAAACGGTGCTCAGGCGGCAGCAAGGATGCGTGCTAGGGCATTGAGCAAAGCCGAACCTCTAATTCTGTCTTTGCGCAAGAGAAAGTCGAGTCTCATGTCAAATCGACCAAATTCGAGCTCACCCACACGAAACCGGGTGAATAGCGTTGCATTCGGGGGTGGTGATGCTACAAGTACCAATGCGCCTCATCAGAATATTGTGGATGAGGAGCAAGCTAGTTTGGGCGTTTGGAGCGATGGAGTTTCAGGTCCACAAGGGAGCAGTTCAAGTGCGGCTATTGGCGAGGCCTTGTCAGGAGGGTATGCAGTGGCTCCAGCAAGGACGCTCATCAGGTCAAAAGGACAGAGTGGGGATGACTGGCAAGGTGAAGGTGGAGATGAGGATGAGGAAGGGGTGTATATCCATCGCGTGGCGACAAAGAAGGGGAGGAAGGGCAGATCTGGCGTGCCGAATACGGCTACTACAGGTGCTGGGTATCATGACTAGTCACGCCTATTTTTGTGTTTCTTGTGTGCGTGACAGCAGGACATGGTGTTTTCCGCAATCGCATCGTGCTTTATGGTTGAGGATGTGTGTTTATGCGATGGTGTGCATGTAAGTGTCTGTCCTACGCTCTTGAAGCCTTCTTCAGACTCGAACTTGTCAGCGAGTGGAACGCATCAGGCATTGGCTTTGGCAGTTGCTCTAGAGCCGTACTGATATACTATCGGTCCTATTTTCGGCTGGAAAAGGGGTTCGGGGCAAGAGGTTGAGCCGCGGCGCAAAGTTTGGCAAATGTTCCAGGATTATTTTTTTTATTGTATTTATTTTTTATATTTTACTTTTTATATTTTATTTTAGTTTTGTTTTGGCACTGTTTGACGGGCATTCAAATATTGTTGTGCTGGTTTGGACAAGTGTCTTTCGACATTTGAATTGATTCCCTTCTGCAGCTTTTGATGAGGTATTTCATGGGCAACATACTGTACAGTATGATCAACAGCTGAAAGTTATGATGTGCTTGCGGGAGTACATATGAAAATTAACGAAAAGGAAAAGGTTCGACAGGCAAGCGAGGCTTATACTATACGTCCCATCCAACTGGGCGGCAATTCCAAAAAAAAACAAAAACGGAAATTTACCGAACAGTTTTGCCACACAAGGGTTGGAAGAAATTTTTCTGGGAATCAATATATTCTCAAGCAAAAATAAAATTTAAATATAAAAAATTCAAAAAAAAAAAAATCTTGTCACGTTGCGTCGACGGTATGCATTCTACATCTATATCAAGCTTACAACTGT